TGCACAGCAGCTCTCCCACTGTCTTTGCAGCTGGTCCTCACAGCCAATTGGCCTGGAGGTCAACTCCTCCCAGAGACGCCAACAGCAATCAAGGCTCAACTACAAGACTGTGCATACAGCCCACACACTTAGAGTGTCCAGCTTAGGTGACTAGGAGGTTGAGCCACTGGGCCCTACAGGACACCTACTACACAAGGCCACTCTACCAATTCCAGGAGACATAGTAGCTCTACCTAATACATAGAAACAAACACAGGGAAGCAGCAAAAATTCAGAGACAAAGAAACACATCACAAATGAAAGAAGTGGAAGCAAACAAACTACTGGATACTGAGTTCAAACCACGGTTATGAGGTTACTCAAGGATCTTCATGAGAGCTTCAAGGGACTAGTGAGACTTTCAAGGATTTTAGTGAGAATTTCAATGTCATGAAATTGGACCAGTCAGAAATTAAGCATACACTAACTGAAGTAAAGAACCATTTACAGGGATTCAACTAGAGGATTCCGAGATTCAAGTCAATGATTTGGAATATGAGGAAGCAAAAAACACCCAATCAAAAGAGAAAAAATAAAAATAAATAAAAAAATATGAAGAAAGTGTAAAGAGTATTGGCCTCCAAGTCGCTGAAGAGTGAACACCCCAAACAATCCCGAAGCGCCACCCCCCCCCAAAAAAAAGAGAGAGAAAGAAGAAAGTGTAAAGAGTCTCTGGGACAACTTCAAGCGTACCAACATTAACATTACGGGGGTGCCAAAAGATGAGAGAGAGCAAGAAATTGAAAACCTATTTGAAGAAATAATGACAGAAAACTTCCCCCACTTGGTGAAAGAAATAGACTTACAAGTCCAGGAAGCGCAGGTAGTCCCAAACAAAGAGGCCCACACCAAGACACATCATAATTAAAATGCCAAGGGTTAAAGACAAAGAGAATATCTTTAAAGCAGCAAGAGAAAAGCAGTTACTTACTTATGAAGAAGGAGGAGGAAGGAAGGAAGGAAGGAAGGAAGGAAGGAAGGAAGGAAGGAAGGAAGGAAGGGAATGGGGAGAAGGAGGAGAAGGAGGAGGAGGAGGAGGGGGAGAAGAAGAAGAGGAAGAGGAGGAAGAGGTAAAATATATGAACAATAAAATGGCAACAAATATATATCAACAATTGAATCTAAAAATCAAAATAAATGAACAGAAACCTAATGAACAAAATAAACTGGTGAATAAAACAGAATCAGAGGCATGGAAGCATGGAACAGACGAATCTCAGAACGGGGGAAGAGAGGGCGGGAAGAGATTAACCAAAGATCTTACCTATGGACATAGACGGTAAGGTGGTGAAGGCATGGGGTGGGGTGAGAACTGGGTGGAGGGAGGCAATGAGGGGAAAAAGGGGGAACATCTGTAACACTCTCAACAATAAAGATTAAAAAAAAAAAAAGGAAATTATAGAAAGGAAACAGGCAGGTTAAAATCCACATATGGCTGAGGGCGGAGGGTGGGGCGGGAACTGGGAGGAGGGGAGTTATGGGGGGGAAAAAAGAGGAACAAATGTAACCTGAACAATAAAGATTTAATTAAAAAAAAAAAATCCACATATGGCTTCAGCCAAGTGCTGACACTAATCATGAAGACCATGGAAAGGCCAGAAAGCGTTCAGGACAAGAACTAAGGAAATCTACCTGAGTTCATGGGGTGTGTACCTTGACTACACAAAGAAAAAGAAGCCTCCACACACATGGATGGAGATCAAGAGGAAATGTCAGAGTTGCAATGAAGAGGGCTTTGCCCAAGGATATCTAAGGCCTTGTCCACCTTCAAACAAGGGTAGAGTCTATGGGGCCTCAGTCAGAGGTAAAGACTTGGGCTGTGTAGGCCACAGGTTGGATCTGTTGGCTCTAGAGCAGTGATGGCGAACCTTTAGAGCTCAGCCTGTCAGCATTTTGAAAAACCCTAACTTAACTCTGATGCCGTGTCACATATAGAAATTTTTTGATATTTGCAACCATATACATAGCCTATTTCAGCTTAGGAAGTACTTCCACAAATATTTCTCATTTGACCCTTGCAATTCTGTGAGATTAAACACCTTCGTTCTTATTTTATATGTAAGGAAACCAAAGCTTAAAAATGTGGTCACTTGTCTAAGGTAAGAAAGGTCTAGAGCAGTGGTTCTCAACCTTGGCTGCACATTAGAATCACCTGGGAATCTTTTTAAAATCCTGATTTCTGGGCCTCATCCTCCGGAAATTCTGTTTCTTTGTTACTAATGTTGTGGCCCCGCCCCATAACAAAGAAACAGAATTTCTGGAGGATGAGGCCCAGAAATCAGGATTTTAAAAAGATTCCCAGGTGATTCTAATGTGCAGCCAAGGTTGAGAACCACTGCTCTAGAGGGTGCACCAAGGAAGAATGTCCTTCCAAATAAATGTTTATCTCAAGTATCTTCTGGGAACTGAAATTTGAACCTTTCACCACTGGTATCTGTCTTATGCTTAACTTCTCAGCATCATATTTAATATATATATGATAATCCTCATCCGAGGATGTTTTTTCCAGTGATTTTTAGAGAGAGTGGAAGGGAGGGATGGGGAGGGGGGGGGAGAGACACATCGATGTGAGAGAGACACATTGATTGGTTGCCTCCTGCACTCACCCCGACCAGGGCTGGGGATGGAGCCTGCAACCCGGGCATGTGCCCTTGACCGGAATAGAACCCGGGACCCTTCAGTCCGCAGGCTGACGCTCTATCCACAGAGCCAAGCCAGCCAGGGCGGTCCCTCAGCTTTGAGCTGACACTCACACGGGCAGTTGATATTTACCAGTAGGAAGCTGGGCTGTTGCAGGTGAGGGAATGCCATAGTAGCCTCTGGTGGAGTTGAAAACGGCCGTCTTAGGAAACCACTGTGGAAAAGCAAATAAGAAATCTCAACCTCTGCCAAACAGAATACGGAATCGTTTCACAATGCCCAGGAGGACATCTGTATAACTCATCACACACTGCATTCCATGTCCCATGTGTTATAGAAATGCCATTCTCATGCAGCCCACAGTGGCCAGCTTCAGAGACACGTTTGCAGTGGCAAATCCTTGCTAATACGTGGTAACGCTTGTATAGCACTTGCTATGTGCCAGGCCTGGTTCTAGGGACTCTGCACATATTTCTCATTTACTTCTCAGTGGCAACCAGAATTCTAAAGATAGCCCTCCAAGTGCCGGCCCCTGGTTATCCAATCACAACCATCTGGATATTGCTGTGAAAGAATTTTGCAGATACAATTTAAAGTGTCAAGTCAGTGGACCATAAAATACAGAGCAGCCTTGGCTGACAGCCAGCGAGGAAACAGGGACCTTAGTTCTACAACTCCCAAGAACTAGATCCTGACAGCAACCTGAGTAAGCTTCGAAGCAGATTCTTCTCCAGAGCATCTAGATAAGAGCAAAGCACCATGATTTCAGCCTTGGACTGAGCAGAGCAGAAGCATGCCTAGCTCCAATGATGGGTTACTGCTGGCTTTTCCTTGCGCAGCTTTGCCTACTGGCCTGAGTAAGGGCACTGAGGTGGCAACTGACAACTTAATGTGGATGGAGAGGTTGGGTGCAAGGAGACGGTGTAGGCAGCTGAGAAGCTGGCAGGCGATGCACATATCTGTCATATGGCAATATAAACACCTCCACGTTTTTTCCCCCAACTCTTAAACTAGCGATCAGTTTCAGTTTTAAAGAAAACTTAAGACAAAACACCTCGGTCCTGAATCAAGTGGTCAAGAGAACTATTCCAAAACTATCAAAACAGCATAAAACCCTGAGTTGCTTGCAAAGGGCAGAGCTTTAGGACGAGGCGAAAGCACCTCCTTGCTCAGAGGGAGTCTGGGCCAGGCAGGGGCCAAAGAAATGAGGCCAGAGGTGCCAAACGAGGGGTCTTTCCAAGGCAGGCAGTGCCTCTTACACAGGTCTCCGACCCTGACTTGGTCTGCTCCCCCCTCGCCCCCCATCACCCCTTCTGTGCTGTGCACCGAGCGTCCGCTTCATCCTAACACTTCAGCAACGCCTTTCCTCAGGAGCTGCTTCCGACCTAGTTTTGGGGTTTCTTCTGAGACCGGCAGCCCTCAGGCATCGCTGATTCTGCCAAGCAAATCACGCTACTGCCAAGGACTCCCTCTCAGTGGTCCTCAACCTTCTGGCCCTTTAAATACAGTTCCTCATGTTGTGACCCAACCATAAAATTAATTTCGTCGCTACTTCATAACTGTAATGTTGCTACTGTTATGAATCGTAATGTAAATATCCGATATGCAGAATGGTCTTAGGCGACCCCTGTGAAAGGGTCGTTCGACCGCCAAAGGGGTCGCGACCCACAGGTTGAGAACCGCTGCTAGCTGCTCTGAGGGGCCGAGCAGGCTCCCCTTCGTCGCTCACAGCTGCCCTGAGGAGCAGGCACTGGGCAACATGCCCCGTGCCACGGATGAGGAGACTGGCTCGCACAATGGGAGGAAGGCTCGGGCCGGGACCCACACCCGGCTCTTCTTCCTACACGGTTTGTTGAGTCCAAAGCCCAAGTTTCACTCGCAGCTTTCCTTCCTCCAACTCGTTCAATGAACGTTCACCGAGGACCCACCGGGGCTGGATGTGCGAGCCGCGCGGGAAGGCGGCATGAGGGCGGAGCCCAGGCCCCAGGC